TAACAGGAACTATACTAGTACAACTCATGACTAATTTATTGATACATGCCTTATAATGTAATCAATATATTAAATTGTTCCACATACTTGTAAATTTAATTTAATTATTTTGATTTAAACAATAATTAATTTTTGGTAAATTAATTAATTAATTTAGTAAAGCAGCTATATATCGATAATAAGTAAATTATCAGCCAGTAAAAACAGAAGTATCAATTCTCATATATATATATATATATATGTAGCTGTTCATATTCTAAATAATCACAGTAAACTGGATTATTATTTAAGTATATTGACAACATTAAAACTTGTAAAATAAAGGAAAGAAAATTTGATTCTAAGAAGAAGTTTCGGTTTTCTGATAAAGAAAATTAAGTAGACTCAATAAATAATTTTGAAATTTAAATATAGTCTCTGTATTTCAATTACGTTAACGTACAGAAACCCGCTATATATTGGTGACCCCGGCGTGATTTGAAAACGCAACACAAGCATGCCGGTGACACATTCGGATGAGGAATCTGGATCCAGGTCATCACAATAAATTTTTCTGTGACTTAAGCACCACAACTTACACCCACTTTGATACGGCGCGGCCGCCAACGAGGCATGAGGCCAGCCTACAGATCAAAGTTACTTTCTCAAGCTGACGACTTCATCAAATCTCATCAACGCTCTCCACTCTCAATCACTTTGACACGGCGCGGCCGCCAACGAGGCACACGGCCAGCCTGCACGTCAAAGTTTTTTAAATCCTGCCAGCAAACGACTGATGAAGAAGTTAAAAAGTTTCTCAACGTAGACTCCAGCTTGCAAATCAAGTCCTTTACCTTACCAAACTCTGATGATATATATATGCAGCAGTTCTTGATACGACGTTCCATATTAACCGAGAACAAAACATTATAGTAATATAGTTGTAATTAAATTTATAAATAAATATATAACTGAATGGTGTATGTTATGGCCCTATGCTCCACTAGTCCTCCTCAATTAGCTAAAAAAGCCGTTTTGAAACATACAGGACGAGAATACTGTGTGACCCATTTCCAGACGCCTCCCTCGTGGAGGGTTCACTAGAAGGATTTTTGTCGTCCTAATTTAATATAAGAACCATTCAAGCGAGTCAAAATTATTTATCTTCCGATGTACACGATGATTATGCTGCATATACGATTGTTATATCTTCAAATATCTATAAGAATAAAAATTAATTATTAGAGTGTGAATTTGTTAAAATGCAATAAATAAACAAAATTTTATATTTAATAACTTTTAAGTTAAAAACTTTAATATTTGCAGTGAAACTCCTTGCAGTTTCCTTTTATTTGTATAATATTTATGATTTCCTTATTTAAATAGTAAAAAATTAAACAGAATTCATAAAGTTACTCGTGCATAAGAAGTTAAGCGAAATACGAGTACTCCAAACTTAGCTCAGATGAAGTTTGGCTGCATAAGCAGAATATTTAAAACTTGTCAAATAAATTTGTTAAGTTGCGCTTGAGTGATTTACAAACGGAAGGAAAAAATCCATAAAGTATTGATGCTGGCACAAATGCAATGTGTGGATTGCGGAGTTGGGCCGGGTGGCTGCTGTCAACATAAACATGACTTACCGACGACAGTAACTTCAATGCTACAGAGTAGTTGCAGTTGTGGGCTCGGAAAGAAAGTTACGTGCTGCAACTTTATTTGCATGCTTAGAATGCATCAACACAAGACATTCCTTTGTCGTTAAAGGAATAACAGCACAACAATGAGCCATAAAGTGTCTGAATGAGTTGACAACTTGACTTTTAGCTATAAAGAAGCTGCGGAGCATAACATATTTCATCTGTTATCTGCTATGTGAAAAGCTTAACAAAAGCTTAGCACAATTTTGATGGGTATCAATAAAGATATTATTCTTTATGGGCGGATAAAAAAGTTATTTTCATATTCAAATTTTTTCCATAATCTATATTAACATTTATAGTATAATTAGAAACATTTTATCTGAAGGGTTTATGACTTTTTTTTATCGCTTCAGTCTTATAATGGTTGATATCGTTTCACAGCCAATTCTTTAGGATTCATTAATTATTATTGATTCAGAAATCATTTATATGCTATTTTCTATGGTCTCAAAACGCGTTCCTCGCAATGGCAATTTGAGTCGGGGGAAGAGGAAAAAGTCACACGGGACCATATCTGGAGATTACGGTGGTTGGGAGATGATATTGGTATAGTTTTTGGCCAAAAACTGCGGCTTTTTTTGAATGAAATTCAGTTTTTTTGCCACTAGCCGAGAAGCGACGCGTTTCAAACCCAAAACATCACTTAAAATGTGGTCGGGCGATCCATATGAGATGCCCAACAACACTGCAATTTCTCTAATCGGTTCACAACAATTTTCCAACACGATCTGCTTCGCCGATTCAATGTTTTCTTCAGTAACAGAAGTTGTTGGGCGGCCAGGGATCTCATCATGGTCCAAGCTTGTAGGACCGTCATATATATAAAAATCGCCACATAAAAATTTTTCGACTTTTTGTATAGACGCCAAACAAAAACCAATCGTACGATATGCGTTAAACTTTGACAGAATGTGTAAAATAGTGTTGCCAGCGTGAAAATAAAAAAATTTACCGATTGGATAAGCGCGGGAGTTCAAAAATAGGCCTGTCGTTCTGTTTTGATCAGAAGGTATGTGCACTCTTTTTCACATACAAAACATTTTTTTATGTAATGAAAAATAAATATCTAATAAATATTTAAGTAAGAAGTAATAACAAAGTAAGCCATGTAAAATTTAAAAAATTTATAAAACATATAACTACAAATTTTTTTCTGTGTGAATTTGATAATCAAAAAAAATTTGAAAATTATATTTCGTATTAAATTTTAAATTGTTTGTAAAATTATTGAACATATTTTTATGTAATGAAAAATAAATATCTAATAAATATTTAAGTAAGAAGTAATAACAAAGTAAGCCATGTAAAATTTAAAAAATTTATAAAACATATAACTACAAATTTTTTTCTGTGTGAATTTGATAATCAAAAAAAATTTGAAAATTATATTTCGTATTAAATTTTAAATTGTTTGTAAAATTATTGAACTATTTATTTTAATTTTTGTGTATTTATCTATTTTGTTAGTATGAGTATTATATAATTACAATAGGAGTCTCTAAACTTCAATAACAATGTTTCTAAATAATGGGCGCAAGGTTTTCAAACATTTAACTTGGAATGAAGCTAACATAGAAGCAACATCCAGTTTGTACAGATCACAACGACCCTCTCTTGATATATCTGGTGTTTCTGGTGAAGCTAATATAGAAGCAACATCCAGTTTGTACAGATCACAACGACCTTCCTTTGATATATCTGGTGTTTCACGTACATTAGAAGTGGCTGCACATCCATTGAACTCAACTTTCATTTCAAATGTAACTACCGAGCCAAGTACAATTGCAGCAGGGTCTACCACCCTTTACGATGTCGAAGGATTAGAGAATAGTAACCGTGTACCAGATATTGTAGCTCAAGATGATGCTGCTAAGGAAGCATTTTATATGAAACGTAAAAATCATGAAAAAGCTGAGTTTACTATTGCTAAACAACAAACGGTGTTCCAACAACTATTCTCGGTCTTGCCATTTGATGTATGTCCAGATAATGTACCTGTAGACGAAAAGGATTAAAACGGAAAACAACAATGGGATTAATAGGTCTTATAAGTCAGTCGTCACTACGTAAGTTTAAATATAATAAAAAACTTTATTTAAGTAATTAATTTTTTTTTATTAGGCCAAGCAAAGCCCTTGCATTCTACAAATTTTGAAATATTAAAAATTGTAAACCGTGCTAATAAATTTTAATATTAAAGTAAAACATGTTTTTTACTTATGTTTTTTTAATAGCTAAAACAGCATAAAACAATTAGAATATACTAACATATATACAATAATACAAGGTTAGGTGATTGAAGTGTTACCTATTCAAGCGACTATATCTTTTTTGTGTGAAATTATTTTTTATTGATTTAAATTACAAAAATTTTTTGGAAATAATCAAAATTTCACAGTCCATTCATTTTAGCTTTAAACGGTTAAAATAATGAGTTGTATACTTCACGAATGTGATCTTCCGGTATTTCGGTCCATTCCTGAATAATGACTTTCTTCAGCGCATCCATACTGGCATATTTTTTTTAGTCCTCATCTTGCTCTCCAAAATGGCCTAGATGGAATTTATCCATTGGATTTGCATCCAGAGAATTCGAAAGCCGGTGTATTAACAAAATTAAATGTGGAACATAATTTTTTATATATTCTTGATTCACACGAGCTGTATGAGATGGTGCCGAGTCTTGTTGGAACGTTCCATGGAATACAAACGAAATGCAACTTCCAAAACATTTTCGCTATAATAAGTTGCATTGACTTTGACACCAGTGGGCACAACTTTTCATACGATTATTTGAGATGAAAAATTACTTCGGATAGCCGTTTGTAGTCTCAAATTTTCGACATTGCATCAACTTAATAAAAACACGATCATTTTGAGAGTTTATAAGCTGCTCAATAGAGAAATTTTTCTCATCAGAGAAGAAAATATTTGGAAATTCGACACGTTTCGAGTCTAATTCTTTGTTGCTTTTTTGTAAGATCTGCTTTTTGGAATTTGTGTTTACCTTGAACTCATTATGGAATATACTTCGGATGCTTCCCTAGGATATTTTCAGGTTTTTGGTCATTTGATCAACACTACGACTTGGATTTCGTTTATATCGAGGCTTTACATTACGAACCATTTCAGGTTATGTTTTTTTCGTCCACGCTGCCTATACTATTATAACAATTTATGGTATGATATATTACAAATAATATATACTTTCTATATACTTAATATATACTACTATATTATTTTACTGGTCACAAAAAATAATCAAAAAGATCTAGTGACATTTTATTATGTTACATTTCTTTTTTTTTTTCAAATTATTTTAAATCAGAAAAATACTTGGTTTAATAATTTTGGGGAAAAATGTTTCACGTTTATTTGTTGCTGTAAGTTATTAAGAAACAAAACATTTTGCTTAATTTCATATATATATATATGTTATATATTTATATATAGATAAAATTTTAAAGATACGATAGATAGAATGTCCGACTCTACTTTAAATAAAACTGATGAAATTTTTGATGTCGAGATGACAACTTCTGAGAGCACAACTTCTAGTGAACCGTTTGATATTGCAGCAACCAATACCAAAATTTTGGTTATACAAGATAGTGCTATTCCGAAGAACAAGAACTTAGCGGAAATAGAGACCAAAAATCGTCACAATGAGCTTACAGACGTCCAAACTTTTGGTGAATCATATTCATTTTCTCTAACTAACGGTCCAGAGAATGGTAAGTCATTACCTTCTGTTATCGAAAATGACCGAGAGCTTAGTTTCTTTATGAAGAGAAAAATGTTTGATAAGGATGAATACACACTTGCAAAAGTTCTGCTTCAATATTCGCTTCGTGAAATAGATAACGAGTCTGATACGGATGCTATGGAGTATATAGGAGAGTAATAAGTAATAATGTTCGTCTTTTTTTTTTTTTAAAAATTAATAGTTTTAAAATTTTTATATGTATGCACTTTCTACGTTTTTAATTTTCAATTGCTAATTTGAATAAAAAAATTTAATAAATTTTAAGCCGTTTTAATTGAAATCGAAACTTTATTTAGCAGGATTTAAAATGTAAGCTTTCAATTTTTGTCAAATTAACGATAATCTCTTCACATATCACATATATCGAATATGTTGACAACAATACAAAAATCTGAAAATTTGATCAAAACATTGATGAAGGGTGCTTTCATACATATTTCAAATATTTCATTTTAAGTGCAGTTAAAACTAATCTGTACCCCAAACTATTGAGTTACTACCAAAAACTAAATACACAAAAGCCAAAAAGAAAATGTTTTATTAAATTTATTAGCAAAAATTTTGCTAGACAAATATGTACGCACAGTACTGGTAACATATTGTAACTCCCCCGGTATGCGAAACGAGTACTTATAGGATTTACAAATTCATTTGCTAAAGTGCATAGGAGTGCAGTTTTGCATTTAGCGTGAACATCAAACAATATGTGGACGCGGCATTATTAAGTTTTTGAGTCAATATTTGTACAGAAACGTATAATGTCCACTGAATTGGATGCGAATGTTTGTATATATATATATGTGTGTGAGTGTGAGTGTGTTCGAAAAGCCGTTTTAAAATATACAATTTAGTTGAGTTTTGAATTGGTCTCCAATCATTCTAACCATCTGTCCAGCTTTCTGTCTTTCTGTTGACTCTCTATTTTGCTGTATTTATTTGTTATTTTAGGTGTTCATAGTATCCTACGGTCAATGCCTCGTACTATTTGATTGGGTTTTAGTCGAAGCGAATATAGTTACAAACGGACTTACGGGCGGACGACGGACAGTGAGTCGTACACTTATTGGAAAATACAATATTTGTTTGACAGTTGATATGTTTCATAGTTTGTTGTTTAATATTGACATAATAATATTTTGAGTGGAAAATGGTTATGAATTTCAAAGGATTTGTGCAAATACATTTTAAGTGAGCGTAAATAGATATTTTTCGTGTATATTAAATTATGATACGCAGCCTTAATGTAGGCTTAACGCGGGATTTGTGCAATAAACAGAGTTTTAGAAGTTCATATTAACATAAATAAATTTTGTGTATGTTTTGTTATGCAAAAAAAAAAGAAGATGAGCAACAATTTTAATCTTTTAAATGAAAATTGATTTAAAATTAATTATTTACTTACAGCGAACAAAATTTATCACTTGAAAATGTTATTCGAAAGTTAAATGACCTGTACAATGAGCCAATAGGCCTAAGTGGATCCACTAGGGATCGCCGGTATAACCTAATCTAACCTTAATGAGCGATGATGTATTAATTACTGAGAATATATTTGACTGTTGTTATCAATATTTAAAAATCTGTTTTGCTTTTTAAAGGATAAAAATTATGGAAATAAAAGCTTGCAAAGGGTCTTCTATTACAACCAAAAATTTATATGCTTAATAGATAAAAAATATTCAAATAACGAATTATTCAATATATACTAAAACAAGTCCATGTATGTCATCATAAAGTTATAAAAAACTACTAATAACTTCAATAAAAGAGTCCCAGGAGCAGCTGGATTAAAATCGAAGACCACGTACTACACTTATTATTAACTTTTAAGCGGGTAATAAAAACAACAACTTAGAAATATTGGATATACATGTATTCTTCAACAATTTTTTCGGGTGTAAAATTTATATTTTAATTGAAATTTATATCCTTGGATTACTTCTACAAATAGAGTCAATCAATATGAAAAATATACTTTTAATGTTTGACTATAATAAGAGGGTTTCTCAACAGGGTAAGAATAAGTCTTATAAAACAACATATATTCAATACTAAAATATTCTTAATGACTATAAATATTTATATTAATTTTTTAATAATATTAGTTGTTATTTATTTAAATTTAATTTATAGATATAAAAAATGAGGCCTAAAATTTTTTAGCACTCATAATTTGATATAAAGTAGTATTGCTGAAAACTATTGTATTTTTTTTAAAAGGTATGATAATAATGATGGGATTACAAAAAATGAAGAACTGCATTCAATGAAGCACTGAGATTTTACTCGACTTCACTTAACGCAAAAACCTTTGGAAACTGCTCTTCAAAATTTTACTGATTATATAGTTGAATATGTCTTTGACCAAAATGATTTAAGTCGTTATAGTTACAATCAGTGATATTGAGAGAGCTTGCTGCCGAGTGTACAATTAAGCAATAACGATTCGATGTAGTCACCGAATATTAATTTATCGTGTGTTGGACGTTATTCATTGAGACCTTTCTACGAATCTTAGCTGCAAAGATTTCAAACGAATGCATTAAAATCACGGTGATAAAAAATATCTTTCAAATATTATCAAAACTTTAGCAATAATAATAATTACTGGTATTTTATTTATATGAAATTTTTTTATGGTTGTTATTAGTGTATTTCTCAGGTTGTCGACTGTTATCTTATACAAGATCGGTGCCAGAATCTTTTCCTAGCCTCGAAAGGGATAAGATATTTTATTACATTAGCATTTAATAAATAACTGGGATGTGCGTTTCTAAAAGTGTTCGATATTAGATATTCTAGCTTTCATTTAAAAGGATGGGATCTTCTGTTTAGCTAGAGCTCTCGTTATAGCACTACTCGCAATGGTCAAAGAGTCATAGAGAGAATCATATTCTCTATTAATATTGTATTTAATGTTCTCCTTATACTTAATTATTGTTTTTATTTATTCTGAACGTTATATATCGCCAACACTTTTTTTTTCACTTTCTGTTTTTTGAAAATAATACAAAATTAAATTTTTCTTAATATTTATAAATTTAATTCCCTTTTCTGAGTACATATTTTTAAGATTTCAGCAGCAGTACTCTACTATACATTATAAATTATTTGCAAACTTAATTTGCACATATGTATACAGTCAAAGGCATAATGCATATCATTAAAAATAATAAGAGAAAAATCTTTTCTTTCATAAATACATATACGAATGTATAGTATGTATAGGTATACTAAAGTATATACCAGACATGTGTGAACATATGGGCTTATTCATAATGTAACTAATTGCAAAGTACATTCAAATCTATGCATGAAGTGCTTCAAATCATATTGTGTAAGCTTAAATATAAATTTTCCATAAGCCACAAAATCATCATCATTAAGAATATTGCATGAAAACTGTAAACTTATTTCAGATTGCAACACTCTATTATAAGTTAGATACACGTTTCACTTGCCATTGCCACATATTGATGCACAACCAACCAACTATGATTAGAGGCAAGATACTCGCATGTGTGCTAAGCTAAACAAGGATATGCAAAATCGTTAAAAGTGCAGAGAGTAACAAAATTAAAAATAATGAAAATATTTTTCGGAACCGTAACTAATGACTTTAACACTGGCACAGAAATACTTACAGTGCAGTGCCTTACCTTGGCTGCTGCCAAGCATAGCAAAATCCACATAATAAACCATGAAATGGCACGGTCAATTCCTTCAACTCGTTCTAGAGATTCGGACTATATGCTGTTGCGAATTGTGGCATGCTCACCCAATTTGTGCATGTTAAGTTATATGAGTTTTTTGTGGCGATTTTTATAGCTCTAGTTAAGTTAAGTAAAGCTAACTTAATGAAGCACCACAGGCCACAACTGCCACAAACTACCATAACTGCTGCAGATACACCGAGCGTTACTTAAGACGCAAGGATTCCGCTGCATATTTTATGACCATAACCGACATTGTTTGATGAATTCTTTTTTCATGTTGATTTCCTAGTTTAGCTTTAGACTAGACTAAAGTTGCACGTTGTAGGCGTTTATTGGCATAGTGTAGTTAGAAATATTTTCTGTTGCTGCAACAAAATTTGTTGCCAAGAACGGATTGTGTCTTAGTTAATGGGTTGCAGTAAAAAACTTTATGACATTTTGCACATTTTATTGTGGCTTTTCAATATTTTTACTTCATTTTTTTCGTTGACTTTTAATTAGTTTTGTTTAATGTTTTAATTGTAAAGCTGTCAGAAGTTTCTTATTATCCACATTGGTTAAGGTTTTCGTCGTTAGGAACAAGCATTTCAGTAAGAAATTAATTTTAATTCGAGAAGTTTGTTTGGAAAACTATTAAATTTTGCCTTTCCATATATCGTACATAAACCGTGCAAGTAACTCGTAAATGAGTTCAGTTGTTTGGCGCCACATGATATAAGACCGGTGAATGACAAATATTTTAAATTATATTGCAAAAAGTATGAGCACAAATATATAATTTTGATATTTTAAAAATTTAAGAAAGATCTCAAAGTTATAGTACATTCTGTAACTCATATAATCTGTTGACAGTACTCATATATTAAACGAAAATGTATTTTGGCGATAATTATGCAGTTCTGTATACTAGGTGGATTGATAAGTACCCACCTAGTACTCTACATATAAGGCTTTTGTCCAATCACGGGTCTAGAAGAATCAAATGTCAAGATTTATAATAGTGAAACGACATAGGTTACAATAACATATACCAGTTGCTTTAAAAAATTTAAATTAATTATAAATCAATTTTAATTATACTTCTCAAATAAAATTAAATATAATAAACATAATTTTTATTAATTAATACGGTTATATCTTACATGTTTATGTTATAATGCAATAAAGAATAAATAATGTATATATCGTATTAAACCTCTTTAAATTATTTTTGTATAATCTAGCCAATAGTCTCTAGATGTCATTTTGACTAACTCTTGACAAACTTCGACAAACTATGATTATGTGCATCTCTTGGTGCAAAGATACTCCTAAATAAATTTGGTAAAATGCCTTTTCCTGTACGCATATTAATCAGTACTTTATACAGAATGCAGTACCAGGGTAACTGAAGTAAAATAAGAAAAATACGGGCATGATTATATAATCTATTTGGTTTTTTTTAAATTACTATCAATGTTATTATGTCTGAAGTAATTAGCG